TATTTTTTTGCACGCCCGGGTACCCCGAACGTCAGACCCCCCCGGGCCTCATGCCCGGGTGCCCGGCCGGCAGGACCGCCCGGGCGTGAGAATCTTCCTAGCTTTGAACCTGGCAGAAAATTTCTGACAAAAAAAAATTAAAAATGTGCCACATACTGACTATGGTTTACCGGACAGTTCTGTTTGACGATATTTTATTATGGTTCTACTACTGCCAGGCCCGACTTCAACAACCATTTGGTAGGTTTTTTTGTTCTTTTTTTTTTTTAGAGCCACAGTTTGGTAGTTGAGGATCAGGCAAGATCAACCATTGTGGAAATCGCACTTTGGTGGGTGTCGCTCCACTGTGAAGATTCTAAGAATCTAAATGTATCTGGGCCTGGTAATGGTCCTGATACAAGCAAATCGCTGGATCAGTCCAAAAGACTCGGAATGTATATGCATTATTCTGTCCATGTTCATGCCAAATGCTTCATAGTGGAGGGAGGCCGTTTAAGATATTGGCGGTTAAAGCTCCATGTGCTCCTTTGTTTATGCCTGCCAGAGAAGTTGAAACAACCAGTACTTGGCCCAGCTATCGGGCGCAGGGAAAAAATAGAGTAGAAACTTTTCTAGTCGGATGAATTTGGGCACTCCTGTAGTGGCCCGTACGTTTCCTAAGATCGTGGCTTGTATACGGGCACGGCTTTAGGAAGTATAGTGGTGGTTTAATATTATTTGTGTTGTTGTTTTCCACTCTCTTTGAAATGGCAGGCACTGTGTTTTTCATTATGCGGTGGTGGGAGCCTCTTGTGTCGGACGATCTGCGGACTGAAACTCTGGGTCGACATGGCGCATGGCCGGTTATCGATGAGCAATCAATCTGGCTTTGGCTATTTATTGTGCCGCTTGCCGTCTACTGCATCTGGCAAGCGCTTTATCTATTGATTGTGGAAGTGATGCGAAAACAGCGATTTTTGGATGACCCAGAAATTCTGACAAGTTACAGGCAAGTGAGGTGTTTTGCTCTTTTTCTGTTTTTTTTCCCAACTTTTCCATCCTTTTTTCACAGTGCGTAGTCACACACTAGCACTGTCGTAGGCAGAGAGGGAGAAGAGGACATGTACATTTTTTTATTTAAACTTTATTTAAATCTGGCATGAACTCTTGAAACTTGAAATACAGACCTAAGTTCGAATCCCTGGGCAACCAGATGACAAGAATGAAATCAGTCTGAAATCTCTGAATTACCTGGGGGTGGTCAGTTCAGTGATGATATCTTTAAGCCGCTGCCCTTTTTCTTTTTCTTTTTTTTTTCTTTTTTTCTTTTTTAAGGTCATTGCATAGTCCTTCAGTTTGTATCTTGGGATATCGCCAGGCCCATCCGCAGGTTTTAAGATTATGACTGGATTGCAACCGGGGTACCGTCTTCACCTGAATAAAACCTACGGTTATTATACCTGTGTTTGGGGCAACTTTCAGTCTAGATGCAGCAATAATATGACCATATGGCGTATGTTCTATTTGGGGAAAGACGGTAGTAAATTACAGTGGCCTGGGTCATGCCATAAGCACTCCTTGGGACCGTGCTGGGCCCAAGGCAGTGGTAGTGTTTTTTATGCCTTGTAGCTTGTACCAAGGCTAAAATTAGAAAGCAGGGGGAAGGGGAGGAGAAATGAAAACAGAGAAAAGAAAAGGAGATAACGCAGCATCGAAAAGATTGTGTTTTGTGTGGTATGAAATAGGAGAACATCCCCCACATCCCCACATGGGTGTGGTGTGGTTTGATTGATGTCTTGCATGTGTGCAGGTTGTGGGTTTGTGGTGTGTGGACGCTAATGATATGATTGATATCTATAACTTTTCTCGTGTCACGGGGGTTTGTGTTGGTGTGGTGTGGCTTGGTTGGTGTGTTTTATGTATGCAAGTAGCGGGTGTCAGGTTGCGGGTGTGTTGTTAGTGGTTGCTGTCATATTTTAAACTTCTCTTCACTCGTTGCGTCTCGTGTCGGTGTGGTGTGGTTGGGTTGGTGTGTTGCATGTGC